GACTACAGCCCTAATCAGACTATTTAAAGCTTTGCGTTCAGTCGCAGTATGGGTTCATTCAAACTTTACTTTATGGTATTTTATCGAACAAGTTTGGATTTTCATGAAAAAAGTGTTGTGGAAAGGCACAAAGTTCTCTTTCAGATGTGCCAGCAACATGTTCGGTTGTCACCTGATTGGTGCATGTTTGCTTTGGTTTCTAAAGGAAATGTTTGACACCACGCTTCATTTTCTGCCTCTTTTCTCTGCACAACACTTTAGTTTTCTCCCAACACATCGTTTGCCTCCGAGTCATCAGATGATGGATCTCAAAGTGTTTATCCGTTATGGATCTAGTGCGTGTAGAAACCAGATTTTTGTTGCTGCTGGCACGCACAAACATTTGGTCATGGTGAGAAGTGTTGCCTAGTTGAAAGGTGATGGCAACAGTTTATCAAGAGCTCGACTTTTGTTGTAAAAATTGTTGTTGTAACTAAAAACGTGGCAGAGGCCGCTTTTATCTAAGTTTTGATTGAACTTTTTTACAGCGTCGTCGCATTAACTGCCATTTCCTCCTCTCCTACGGTGTAATTAGGCCATATTTCCCTTCGCCCTAAGGCCGGATTATTTAGAGCAACAAATGCTCCACCTCCTAGTTTCCTCCTGCTCTCGCTCCATCCACCCTCCTATTTATTTACACCACTTTCCATCTTAAAGTATGAATTTGTTTTCTTTTATTTTGTGGCCATTTCTAACCCTTTTCTATTTCTGACTGTAGTACTTTGTCTTTAATCGGCGTCCCTTCTCTCTCCCTCTGCCTCCCCGTTGTTTTCCTCTCGCCTGTCCCTCTGTGCTGCCTTCATCTGCAGAATCAGTCCCACTGACCGGCTCTTATGTAACGGTCAGGTGATGCTGGCCTGCCGTCGGGTCCTTAAAGGCCCACTGTCCCAGCAGAACCTGCTTCTCCTGCGACGTTCTCATCTTCGTGCGATTGTCTACATGAAATCTAATGTATCCGTTTTGTCATATATGATCTGTTTGCTGTCACTCTCTTCACCCTAAAACGAATAAAAACAAGTTGTTTTTTTTAAATTATTAGTTTTTTATTTCTAACAGCATGAGTGTGACTCAGGGGCGATTCTAGAATCTGACCTTTAGGGGCGCTTAGCCCCCAGTGCTGACGATGGCTCTTGGTTTGAATAACGTGGTGGCCATTGGCGTCAGAAGCATTCATAACGTGGAGGGGACACACTCATGGGGTGTCTTGGGGTCCTCCCCCAGAAATTTTTGAATAAAGTAGATATCATTTCCTGCATTCTGGTGTATTTTAACGGGTTGTTAAACATATATGTTTACCTACACAAGTACAACACTTGATTCAATAACGACTTTAGAGAGCACGGCACAACAAGAAGTAGCGCTACGCTAGCAGCGTGAAATGCAGACGCGCTAGCTAAGATGCTACAGACGTAGCACTCTGCTTTACATTACACGACTTAATAAGCACTTTGTTCAAAATCATTTTTGATTTGCTGCTGTTGTTTTTTTTTTTTTGCTACTTTTTCCTTTTTGACTGTCCTTTTGGTTGCCATTTTATTTTAACTTGTCAAAATAAATAAATACATTTGTATGCCTCTTTTATGATCGTCTATTGTTGTCGTTGTTATTCACTGTTGTCATCACTCTTCGTTAAAGAAATCAGGTCTCTCTTGTAAATGAGTCCCCGAGGCTCAGTGGGATGAACCTGTCTAAATAAAGGTTGAATGAAGGAAATTCAATCATGATCAACTTCCAAACGAAGACTAAACTTAAGCAACCAGAAGTTACAACATATATCTGCATTTAAAATGCACAAAACAAAGCACAACTAGCATTAACCTTTAATTTAACCATTAAGCATACAACGTAATTATGACAGGAAATGGAGGATTTACCTGCAGTTACCTTCGTACACATGAACATGTGGTACTTCCTGTTTATGACTGTTGTATTCAGCTGCTCATGAGGTCGACCACAGGGCTTTACCATCTTTACATTTTTCCAGACTCAGTTTAGGTTTTGGAAATGGAATAAACTGTATTCCACCGTCTATAACAGGGTTATTCATGTAACTGCTCAAGGGGCCACAGTTACTGAGAGCCAGCAGCTCAGGGGCCGGACAGCAATCAAAGTCCTAATGTAAATAAATCAAGCACCGGGATTATAATGATCTGTTACCTTTTTTAATTTGTTTATTGTGCTGCATTGAATCATAACTGTATATATAATATCATCTGTCCTCACTCCAACCATGTCCTCTAACTGCATCCATGTAGCTCCTCTTTGTCTTTTTCCAGGCAGCTGCATTTCTAACATCCTTCTACCAGTATACCCACTGTCCTTCCTCTGGACATATCCAAACCACTGTCCCTCCTCTGGACATGTCCAAACCACTGTCTCTCCTCTGGACATGTCCAAACCACTGTCCCTTCTCTGGACATGTCCAAACCACTGTCCCTCCTCTGGACATGTCCAAACCACTGTCCCTCCTCTGGACATGTCCAAACCACTGTCCCTTCTCTGGACATGTCCAAACCACTGTCTCTCCTCTGGACATGTCCAAACCACTGTCCCTCCTCTGGACATGTCTAAACCACTGTCCCTCCTCTGGACATGTCCAAACCATCTCAGTGTGTCCTCTCTAACTTTATCTCCCTGTTGTTCAACATGTGCTGTAACTCTGATGATCTCATTCCTGATCTTCTCCATCCTTGTCTCTCCTAAGGAGAACCTCAACATCTTCATTTCTGCCACTTCCAGTTCTGTCTCCTGTCTTTTTGTCCATGTCTCTGTCTCTAGACCATACAACATAGCTGGTCTCACCACTGTCTTGTAAATGTTTCCTTTGACCTTTGCTGACACTCTTTTGTCACAAATCACTCCTGAAACTTTTCTCCATCCACTCCATCCTGCCTGGACTCTCTTCTTCACCTCTTGACCACACTCCCCATGTTCCTGGACAGTGGACCCCAAGTCCTTGAAGTCCTGCACCTTTGTGACCTCTGCTCCTTGTAGCCTCACTGTTCCACCTCCTCCCTCTCATTCACACATGGACTCTGTCTTACTACGGCTGACTTTCATTCCCCTTCTTTGAAGTGCATACCTCCACCTCTCCAAGTTCTCTTCCACCTGTTCCCTGTTCTCACCACAGATCACAACGTCATCTGCAAACATCATAGTCCACGGGGTTCCTGTTTGTGTGAATTCTCAATAATATTAAGACATGAAATTGCAGGAAAATGTGAAATGTCTCCTTGAACAGCGCTCTCCTATAGAAAAGTAATTTACACTTGAGGCAAGTAAACACAAAGTATCGGAAAGACTTTTGCAGAATGGAATATGCAAAACGTGACTTTCAGGAAAATCAACTAATGAAACAACTTTTTTCTTCATTTCTCTCACTAAGCACTGGAATTACTGGTTATGGAGGTGGACTTGTCAGCCTTTAGCTTTTTGGCAGCAGCTTCTTATCCACAGTAGCTACAGTCTCTGCTGGCATCTCGTTTGTCTCATTTTTGTCTCTTACTGCACCATATGTGACAAGTCTAGCAGCGTGAGAGGGCCATATGGTGTGGGTATCTCTGCCAGCGAGAGTCTGGTTTTAATGTTAACTTTCACTTTTCTCATCCTGAATCAAATATACTTTTAGGACGCCAACACAATTACATGAAGGCATCACAAACAACGCTCCTATTAAAGACTGATGTGTTAAATTGTTGAGAGAGCCGTAATAAAGCCTACGTGAATTAGCTATTTCTATCTGAAGTTAATTACTGACACCCACTGTATTCCCACTGGGCTTCCTCCTACATGTTGCCTTCAGGCTCATTACAGTGATGCATTATTTTGTTGTTGTTGTTGAGTCACACTCCCTGTCTGATAATGCACTGTAGAGTTGTTTACATCATGGGTGCATTAAAACTTTGCTTTTATGAATAATGTGGTTAATAATGCAGTGAGGCTCTCCGAGGGTGCAGAAATGCTTAAATAAATAAAAAAACAAGTTGTATTTTCTTTTAACGATAAAAAGCATTCAGGGATGCCTGATATCATATACTTATTATACTTTAATTCTTGCCGATACAAGTACTTATTAAATATTTTAATAATTTCAAGTAGTGTATGGCATTTATAAGAAATATAATCCATCCCAACAGGTGATTTCTATGATGAAAGTTAGAATTTTGAGCACATTTTTCAAATTAAAACATAATTTAAAGTAATAATAATGAACCCCCTGCCCCTCTGCTAACCCTAAATAAACATCCAGCTCACGACAGTATGAATAGAGACTAGTCGAGCTTAACACCCTCCTCTGAGACCGTGTCTGGCAGATGCTGCTCATTAAGCAGCTTGTTAAGCAGCACCGCGATGGAACACTCCAAAAAACACAGTCGGCGGCTTCGGTCGCATCCACTCCACATTTCATCTACTCTCAGATGTTGGACTTGTCGATTCCATATAGTCCCAGTGCTCTCTGCTGGTTCCCGTTAAACTGCCTCCTCGTGACTTCTTCTTCTGGCGGTATATTGTTTTATTGGCCACAAACTAACAACGAGTGTGGCTCAGGACAGTTAACTCAAAGATAAAGAGAAACTACCGCCGTACGTTGACATTGCCCCTCTTCCACCACTTGACGGATCAACTGAAGCGAAAATTGCATTAAAGTGGTATTAGTACCAAAGTATTGGAATGTTTTTATGAGTACGATGCACGTACACAGTATCAGACCAATACTAGATACTGTATTGGTGTCCGTGCATCTCTTAAAGCTTAAAAAAAAAGAGTAACTGCAAGCACTCATGTCATGCAATTTATTAAAGAAAATAAGAATATCTTCCTGGTTTGCTGTTGTGTTAATGTAACGAACTTATTTAGTTGCTTATTTGTAATAATGTAATTATTGTGCCTTTTATATTAACATCATTTGCCTGTTTCTGTGTTCATTATTAAACAATTCTGTGTTTCGTTTTCTCTTCCAGGTGCTGGTAAGTGCTGAAGATGAGTAGTGGTGGGGGGGACACTCCGGAGCCCCCCAGAGGGGACTCTCTGAAGAGGAAAGACTGTCAGTCGGACCTCCTAGGACCCAGGTGAAAACCTTCTCTCTGCGTCCCTGGGACATCAGGAAACGCTGCAGTAATGAACAACTAAAACAAGACTTTATTTTAATTTATGTATCCGAGAGGCGTTTAAAATAAACCGAGCCAGTGGCAATATTAATATTTCTTTAAAAAGTTGCAGTTCAGAAACCACGTGGCCCTCGCACAACCCCTTCAGAAGACCAGCAACAGGTCCTGGTTGGCCTAATCTCAAGGAGAAAAATAAACATGAGCGCAGATTGCTTCTCTGAGGGAAATATCAGACCCACGGTTCACAAAACTGAGATTTGTAAAACATTTTGGCTAATATTCAGAACAATGAGTCGTTGTTTAAAGCCCCCCCCGTGTCTCAGCTGCACACTCTCAGCAGATCTGACGACACAAATACGTCTGATATACAGCTGAAATCACATGGAAATATATCATATTTTAATATCTCCTCATCAGACTTCTTATCTCTTCCAATAAAATAATATAATGCAAATCTAAATGGACTTTTTTCATTCATATAATTAAAATATATATATATATATTTTAATGTGTTTAATGCACCACAGAAGGCTGAATATTTTACTACTAATGCAGCTTTAAGTGTTTTAGCTCATGGAGGGAAATTCAGCAGCAGAGAACATTACTCAAAGAGAAAGTGTTCAAAATGCATGATTTTGATTAAGAGATATTTTATTATGCACCGCACAGTTTTATTTATAACATTTAAACTCTTTTTGTTTAACAAATTCTGCTAAGACTAGGAATTTATTATGTATTTATGTATTATAATTTTTAGTATATTTCTGTTTTGAACTATTTTCAAACTCCTACAACTGGTGAAATTTGGGCCGTTAACACCCGCCCCTGCACATTTTACTCCGTGCACATAAAACTTTAATTAATTTAGTCTCTTTTGCCGTCTTCCTTTTCAACAGATGTTTTCCTCTCTGATTAGTCAGTGTTTTACCTGCAGTAGACGGTGCACTCGACAGTTTTATGGCACAACTTTTTACTCCGTAAACATCAGTGCAGCCACCAGTCATGACGTCAGGAAACAGAAGTTTAATCTCATTTCAACTTCATAGAGCAGTGGTTCCTAAAGTTGCGGTTGGGACCCCAATGTGAGTCATGAAACGCCAAGTGGAGGTCCTTGGATAATCTCTAGATATTCATTTGAATTTACAAATTGTTGTTTGTGGCAGTGGTTCCCAACCCTGGTCCCTGAGGAACGCCATTCTGCATCTTTTAGTTGTTTCCTGCTCCAACACGCCTGATTCGGTGATTTGATTACGTCCTAATGTTCTGTTCCGCTACTCACCCGTTCATTCAAATCACGTATGTCAAAGCAGGGAAGCAACTAAAACAGGCAGGATGGAGTTCCTCAAGGACCATGGTTGGGAACCACTGGTTTATGGCACATTTTCACCCAAATTGTTCCAACAGAAGAAAAAAAACAAACAACTATTGTCATACAATAAAAAAAATCATGGGACTGTATTACTCTTTATCTTCTCATTTTTGTTTAATAGTGTTATTATTAAAGTTAACATGTTTTAAATCAGCGTTTTGTGTGGCACAAGTCCTGGTCACTAATATTTTGTGGATCAGAAAGCCAAACAGTTTGGGAGCCGCTGGCTCAGAGGAGCAAAAGCTGCTTAATGTTGGAACTAGATTTATTCATAATTAAGAACAAACCATAATTCTGAAAAGCTAACAAAGGTCTGAGACGTTAGTTTGTTTTTTTTATTTAGATCCAAGTATGTTAATTGAGACAGATTTTGCTTCTAAATGAACCAAATGTTTGTTTTTTATGTCTCATCAAGTGAGAGGAAGGTTTTTCTGTTTGAGTCGTAAAGAGAAATGCTGCTGCAGCGTTTTTACAGACCGCCCTTCACAAAACGAACAAGTTGTAATGATGCGCTGCCGTTCTGCACTGGGGTCATGGGGCTCGTTAATGTCCGGTCGTAGGGAGGTCATGAAGTTAATTTGCAGTTTCTGGGGAGGTTTTTGTCTCACAAAGCGAGCTGGTTCTGCACAAAGACAAAACCTCTCAGACTTGATGTTCACCATCACACTCTGATGTTTATTACAATTATTCCTGACGATGAACAAGCGCTCGGCTCCTTTCTTTCTGTGCGAGATTCATTCGGTGTTTTTGGTTGAATATTTCTTTGTTGCACAGCCCGAAGAGAAGCACAGAGAGACGGAACAGGGAGCAGGAGAACAAATACATCGAGGAGTTGGCAGAGCTGATCTTTGCCAACATCAACGACATGGACGACCTCAACGTCAAGCCGGACAAATGTGCCATTCTCAAGGAGACTGTGAAGCAGATCAGGCAGATCAAGGAGCAGGGTGAGTTTCTGCACGCGTGTTTGCAAGATGGAGACGTTTAATTGTTGTTTTTGATTGGTCCTCTTCTCATTGGAGCTGCCCAAGTGTCCATGGGCCAAAATCGAAAGCCAGACAAAAGTGACTTTAATAAAGTCAACTTGGACAGAAATCATTAAATATCAACAAACCAGTGCGTTCAGGTCTATCAAGAATTAACTCCACCCCTTGGTAACCGCTTGATTCACTTCCTGGTTGTGCAGTCATGTGATCAGGAAGTGATTCAAGTATTTTAAGTAAAGAAATAATAAGCATGGAGAAAGACGTTTGGTGCCGCTGTTAGTTTAGTTTCTGCAACTTCCCTTCGAATACAGTTAATAAACGTTTAATTTTAATTTATGTTACAACGGCTCATACACTGGTTGTCTTCCGTGGCGTGTTCGTTGATTTGAATCGTATGTGGCAGTGTAACATTTTGAATCATACTGCAGC